GCGTGCCAATCCAGCCCACTTCATTAAAAATAAAAAAATGTATATATATATGTATATATATATATATATATATATATATATATATATATATATATATATACACAGGTCCTTCTCAAAAAATTAGCATATTGTGATAAAGGTCATTATTTTTCATAATGTAATGATAAAAATGAAACTTTCATATATTTCAGATTCATTGCACACCAACTGAAATATTTCAGGCCTTTAATTGTTTTAATACTGATGATTATGATTATGTTCTAGAATTGTGCGCTCCAGGTGGCTGCATGTTGGAGCAGCTCTGTTACTTTCATTCTGAGATTTTGCTTTTGGAAACTTTAATTCCTCTTTTTCTGAATGTAAATCACATTTTTTGGATGATTGTTTCCTCTGGTATCAGATGCTGTGCAGCTGGAAGGATTTTTACTGAAACTTTTTTAGTTTTGGACATTTGTTATGATGTGTAACCATGGCAACAAGGCAGTTTTCTACAACCAACAGCAGCTGATTAACATCTCAAAAGCTCAAATAATATCTCAACTACAGCCCCAACTCTCAAATGAGTTGAAAAGAATGTTCTGTGGAAGCATTCTCATCTACCCGCCAGCTGTGCTCGAGTGCCTGACCACTGAGATCCTGGAAATAACAGGAAACACGGCTCATGACAGCGAAAGAACAGGATCGTCCCTCAGCACCTACAGTTGGCTGTCTGCAGCGACGAGGAGCTCGGCGGACTGCTGGGAGGAGTGGCCATCGCTCTGGGAGGAGTTCTGCCCGGTATTCAGGCGGTCCTACAGCCCGGGGGAACCGAGAGGCCAGCCAGGTGGACGGATCGGACGGCATCTGCAGCCAGTTTCTTAGGATCCACTGTGAGATGGACCTTTACAAGAGATCCTTCCTGTCTACATCCATCAGCATCTATAACATCTCTTAATGAAATGAGGATAACGAGTTACAACAACAAATAATTTCCCTTTGGGATTAATAAAGTATTTTTTAATTGAATTGAATTGAATTATGGCATACAGCTCATGAAAACCCAAAATGCCTGTCCCAAAAAATTAGCATATTTCATCCCACCAATGAAAGACAAGTGTTTTTAATACAAAAAACGCCAACCTTCAAATAATCATGTTCAGTTATGCACTCAATACTTGGTCGGGAATCCTTTTGCATGAATGACTGCTTCAATGTGGCGTGGCATGGAGGCAATCAGCCTGTGGCACTGCTGAGGTGTTATGGAGGCCCAGGATGCTTCGATAGCGGCCTTAAGCTCATCCAGAGTGTTGGGTCTTG